TGTCCCCTAACCAACCCCGATCCTCCAACCAAGCCAGTGTCGTCCCAAGCTCCAAAATCCACGTCATACACCCCTCGCTCAAGAAGCAATCGTGACCAGATCTTCACTTCAGTTTCAGGCAGACAAGTCTGTAATAGTTTCAACACTTCAGGCTGCACCAGACACCGATGCCGCTTCCTCCACGTCTGCAATTTCCATGCACGATCCATTTGCCCTGTTCGCCGCTCACCTGCTAACCTCAATAAAAAGTTTCAAAAGTACCTTGCTTCTCCTATTATCATTCCTTCTCTAGCTAGTGAATTGGAAAACTATCCAGACAAAAATTTCACTCAGTTCCTTCTTTCAGGATTGAAAGAAGGTTTTGACCCCGGTTTTGAAAGTTTACCCAGTTCCAGCATGATCTGCAATAACCTACAATCTGCAACAGCTGAACCCAACACAGTCAAAGCCCTCATCAAAAAATAATTCGATTCTGGATTCATGATTGGCCCTTTCGATTCTCCACCTTTTGAGTTATTTCGCATAAGTCCTATCGGAGTAGCCACCAGAAAATTTTCCGGAAAAAAGCGACTTATCATTGATCTCTCGGCTCCTCACGGAAATTCCCATCCGAGTATTAATAGTATAATTCCAATAGACAAATTCTCCCTACATTATCATGACATTGACCAAGCAATCACTCTCATAAAAAATGCCGGTCTTGGAGCCTGGTTAGCAAAAGTCGACATAACATCTGCTTTTAAAGTAATGCCCATTCACCCAGATTTCTGGCATCTGTTTGGCATCCGTTGGAACGAAAAATAACCATCATCCAATCAGTGTTTTCAAAACTAGGAGTTCCCCTCTCTCCCGAAAAAACCGAGGGCCCTTCTACATCCTTGGAATTTCTCGGTATCCTCCTTGACTCCGTCAAACTCCAAGCCTCTCTCCCCAAAGAGAAAATAGATCGCATAGTCACAATCGCATCAAACTTGTTAGATTCTAACCATTGCAGCAAGCGGGATTTGCTTTCGCTCCTAGGCCACCTGAATTATGCCATGCGCATAATTCCACAAGGCCGGCCTTTCATTTCCCACCTGCCAACTCTCACTACTTCAGCCTCTGATCTAGAGGAAATAATTCACCTAAGCCAACCATGTCGGGCAGACTTGAAATTATGGATCACCTTCTTATAGAGTTGGAATGGCATAACCTTCTTCTACGATGATTTTCTGTCCCGACCTTGAGACATCTCCTTATTCACTGACACTGCCACCTCCACTGGTTTCGGAGGTTTCTACAGAGGATGGTGGTTCGCCTCAACTTGGCCACCTGAGCTCACTGACACAAGCCAAACCACCAAATCAACTGCCCTTTTTGAGCTATACCCCATAGTAGTAGCAGCCTATCTATGGGGCTCTGAATGGTCAACAAAAAACATCCTTTTTCACTGTGATAATTCTGCCACCGTCCACTGCATCA